AGAGATTTCCAAGCAGAACTCTGAAGCACCACCTGTTTCTTCTCACTGGCCATGAGTTTTATAAAAGCAAAGGGATAAGCTTAAGAAAAAATATTCCAGTTTTCCAGCAAAATTTAGAAGAACTATAAGAGTCAAGTTTCACTGGATTTGAAATTAAAACCCTTTCTCCTCTCCAGCTTTACCACATGGCAGAAGATTCTCAAAATAAGGAACAGTTTTTTGTTTTGTTTTTGTTGTTGTTAAATAGAGGTCACTATCAGAAAAACACAATCTAAAGATGTAAACAAGAGCACTATATTTTTAAGACCTCAAAAACTCTGAAAATGATGCCCCATTACCTTTTAAATAAAAATCATAAGGGCATGCCTCATAAAAATCTCTCTGCTAAACAATGAGCATCTAAGAATCTTTTATTCCACAAAGCCTCAAGATAGACAAAGGTTTATCTTAAAGAGCTCTATGTGTAGAGACTTGTCTAATAGAATGGATATAACCTAATAGATAAAAATTCGACATTTTTTACATAAGCATACTTGCTTAGGACTATATATAAAATAAGCATTGGACTTTGGACCCCCAATTCTTTACTGCTATAAGCAAGCTGAGGTTATTCAATTATAAGCACAAACTACTTCTTACTTGGAAAAGAAAGAATGTCTTCAAAGACAAAGCTTTGACTCCAAAAAGTGAGGCTTAATGCCAAGAAAAGCAACGCACAGAGAGCAGCACTCAGCCATAATTAAGGAACTGGCAACACGTGACCATTTGGATTTCAGAATTACTATGGGCCAGTGGCTGCTGTTTTTTCCCATTTTCTCCATCCTTGAATGGAAATGGCTATTATAACAATCACATTCCAGTCCCATCATTGTCTTTTGGGTGGGGAAAGTGGGGCAAGAAGATAATAACTTACTTCTCCAGATAATAGGTCTTCAGGGTAAGAGAAGCCATCCCCAAAACCAAACTAAAGTCAATTCATCTGTACATAAATTGGCAAGAATATTGTGAACCCTAAATGTCAACCTAATGTTTTTAATGGGATAGATACCCATTGGAGAGTATAAGTTCTATGTGGGGTAGTTGGAAATAATTTGTGAGCAGAAAACAGATTTCTAGTTTTTAAAAGGATCCACAAATTCTTTGACACTCCTTCCATCAAGAGCTGATGTCTGTGCCCTCTTCTGTCGAGTCTGTACTATCCCTAGTGACCCCCTTGTAATTAACAGAATGTAGTAGAAGTAATGCCGTGTAACTTCTTAAACCAAGTTAAAAAAACAAAAACCACCATACAGTTTCCACAGAGTTCTTTTGGGACACTTACTTTTGGTGCTCTGAACTACCATGTAAGAAATCAAACCTTGCTAAAGCCACCATGTTTTGAGCAGGCCCAGACCCCATGGAGAGGCCACACACAGATGCTACGGTAAGCAGCTCTGACTGACATCCCAGAAGACTAACAATACAGTCACCAGGAAAAGATAGTTCCAGGTGGTTCTGATCCAGTCATCAGGTCACTACCAATCTTCATGTCTCCTCATCTGAGGCCCAGACATCACTAAGCAGAGATTTAAAATTCCTAACCCACAAAAACTTTCATCATAATAAAGTGGTTGTTTTATGTCAATCAGTTTTGCAATAGTTTTTTATGACATTATAGCAACCAGAACAATATTGTAAGGAATAAACTCATGCTTTCGGCATTCAAACAAGAAATCCAGGATGAAATTGAGATATTGGGTGATTAACAAAGGTGACACAGAAGCATAATACAAATTCTGAAACAGACCTACCTGATTCTAAAATCCAGGTTTATAGCCATAATGCCACACTATTTTCCATAGAAAATATCCCTATGTCTATATCTTTTCTTATTACTGTTTCCTCTGTGAAGGATTATATGGATATGTTATCACCTTTTCTTGAACCAAATCATCATTCAGGGTTTTACTAACTCCTCTCTTCTCCCTGAAGTGAAAACCTAGCCTCTAATCCTTAGCAATTTCTCCATGTTCCAAATGCTCTTGAGCTTATTTTCTACAACTTTCACTTGACAATTAATGAATACTAGTGTCACTAATTCACAGTTGGTGCAGTCGCTGTTTTCTCTATGCACATTCCCTAGCTGCCTTCTGGAATTACATTCCTAGACCAGGATTAAAGCAGGTAATATACAACAGTGAATTGTAGGCACAAAAGAACAAAGGTGGTCTGGACTAAGTTACACTGCCAAGCAAATGCTGGTTGGCCACCCAGCTCCAGTGTATTGTCTTTCTTCATAGTACATATCATCACCTGACGTATTAAACATTTGTTTGTTCATTGCCTCTCTCTTCTCATTAGAATATAAGCTCCCTGATAGCAGGAACTTTGTGTTTTGTTTGCTGCTATATCAACAGATCCTAAAATGGTAACTGTCATTTTCAATCAGAAAGTATCTGTTGAAGAAATAAATGAATGAATGAAAAAAAAATATTGCTGAATGGGAATGTGGGGCCCCAGGTCATAAGACCTTTCGATTTTTTTCAAGGCCAGAAATAATTTTTGGTGTAATTGTTCAATTTCTAAATGTTGACAACTAATTAGAAAAAGGTTAAGCCATTTTAGGGATGGGTAAACAAAAACATATCTGCAGATTTGGATTCAATATGAAGGTTGGATTTACAGTCTCTGTGCAAGGGCATCTTAGACTCTTTTTTAACTTTGTAACTACTTAGAATAGTGCCTTGCAGACTGTAGGGAGCTTGAAAAACAAATAACAGAGATGATGATGCCTCGAATATTCACACATAGGCCATAGCTGCAGTTCAGCTGTGTATTATTAATATGCTACTCCAGTTTCTTTCTCATAGCTCAAAGAAAATTGCTTCAGCTTCTGATGTGAAATGACCACCTGGACTTCACATGACTCTCCCATATCCAAGATTCTAAAGCTAAACTTCCTCTCCTTCCAACTGCCAAGAGTTGAGAAATGTCATTCCCATGTGTTCCCAGTAATAAACGGGAAAGGCAGCGAAAAGAAAATAGATTGGATTTCAAAGGGGTGACAGACAAAGAGAGTTGAGTTTCAAACTACATTTCCACAGTTGATAAACAAGAGTTCCCAATAGCAATTCTGTTTTCCTTTTTACTGATTTTGGTATTTTTAGATTATACAATCTAAACTTTTATTTCAGTTGACCCTTTGATGTTCTCTCATAGTATGTGTTGTCTTTTCTACATAAAAGTTATTAAGGGGGAATTTTAAAATGTTTACTAATTACTTAGCAATTCTTAACTTCAACAAAAAAGCGCATCTAAATAATTAGAGTGTGTCTGGCTTTAAAAGTGGGTCACTTAGCAACAAGCATAATTGTATAGAGCATAGAACACTTTTAAGATACTTCAAGGAAAATATTCTAGGCAAAAAGCATTTCCAGTGTACTTTATGCTAACTGACCCACAGCAAGTCAATCATCAACTTTTGAAGACGCAAAAGGATATGAGATGTCTTCATGTTCCTTTTCTATATATGGTCCAATGAGTATAGCCTTGAAATGTCCATAGAAGAGATCAACAAGCATCAGAGGAATTCAACATTTCAAACTATTATAGCCTCAAAGAATAAAATGTTGGCAGTCCTCTATAGTCAGCATCTAGTGTATTATTTTAATGATTATACAGATGAATTCACTGTGTAGTCATTTAATAATGGTGTTAATTTTGTATGCAAGCAGATTTTATTTTTTAAAACAGGTTCCACAGTGATTTAAATTAAAAGTAACAGCGAGAAAATTTTCTTTAGCCAAAACTATTTTTCAAAATTCTGGTTACTATAGAGCTACAAACTCTCTACAGATTAAAAATATAGATTTTTATTCACCTATTCTATTATGTTCAAGCAACATTAAATTTAAGAGCCATGGGGTGGGGAAAATCACAAGACATATAGGTAAAATGGTGAAACGACTACAGAGGGCACAGGACAGAGAGGCCAAAAGTTGAGATCAAACCAACAGATTTGACTCATGGCTCTTGACCTTGAGCAAGTCACTCAATTTAAACTTTAATTTACTCATCTGGAAAAGGGAGAGCCATAATATCTTCCCAGTTAACAGGAAAATTAAAATAAATGCATATTTATTATGTAAGGAACTAAAATGAGGATGAAATTATTAACTCAATACAGCCTGGCCTAGCATAATGCTATGTGATAGCATGGAAAAGTGCATTAGAACACCATGGTGTCACAAATGACAGCCACCAAGAGAATCCCACTGATCCTTATGGTAAATTTAATTCAGACAATGCTCTCTGTATTGCAAATTTTCTAAGAAAATAAAATGAAACCAAAACGTAAGCTGCAGAATAAAGTTTATAATATAAACTCTATTCAATGAATTTTTTAAAGCGTAGTATGATATACTCATGTGTAATAACTGTTCAGTAATATGCATGGAAATGGCAAACACCAAGTCCAGGGTAATAATATTCTAAGGAGACAGCAGGGCAATGAGATCAGAGAAGGCCATGCCAAGGGCTATACTCTTTTCAATATGTTGACTTTCTCAACAACTGAAGCAATGATAAATATTTACATTCTATAGATCTGGCTAGTAGGCATATCAGGTTTATTCTATTATTTGTCACATTTCCCACACATTTGAAATATTTCAGAACAGAAAGAAGCAGATTTCCCAGCCACACAAATAGAAATAGGCAATTCCCAGAAGAGATAGCAGCTGTACTGGAGATACCCAGGAGTAGGGGTGGAGATGAGGAGGGACAGGGGTGAGGGGGTTGGGAAGAGGAGATGGTTGAAAAGGAGTAAGAGAGCGGGGTGTAGAAAAGAAGCTTCTCTCTGACTCTGAAACCAAGAAGACAATTTGTCCCCAAGAATTATGGAAAGAATTCAGCTATACAAGACATGAAGAGGTTATAAAAGATTCCTTGTTAATCCAGAAGTCAGATTATATTACAGAGTGTACATTACCCAAAAAAGTCATTAGGTGGAAAATACTTACTACAACCCCACTCTTGGTAGTAGTTTCTCTGTATGTGAAGTTGCAAATCGCCCAGGCTAAATAATATGTGGACATGAGAGGAGTCTGTGAAAAGTGATCTGTTACCCATCCATCTTCCTCAAACACAGAAGTTTCCACTGGCATATTGGATAGAGATAAGTAGGTGGCTTGATGTTTGATGCTGATTTTGAAAGTGGCCTTGTAGATTGGCTCATCAAAACACGGAAATGCCTTTCTGGCGTGTACAGGTGAAAACTGAGTGACACCAAGGAATCTGGAAAAAAGAAAATGACATTCCAATTACATTTATGGTTTGAATTAATAATTTATGGCCTATTACATGATTTCTTATTTATTTATTTATTTTTATTTTTGGTGGTAGTACTAGGGTTTGAACTCAGGGTTTCACATTTGTCAGGCAGGTACTCTGCCACTTGAGCCACACCTCCAGCCCTTTTTTCTCTGATTATTTTGGAGATACGATCCTGTTTTTTGCCTAGGTCAGCCTGGACCACAAACCTCTTATTTTAGGCTTTCCTCCATAACTAGGATGACAAGCATATACCACCACACCCAGCTTTATTCCATTGAGATGGGGGTCTCACAAATTTTTTCCCAGGCTGGCCTGGACCCACGATCCTTCTTATTTGAGTCTCCCATGTATCTTGGTATGACAGGCATGCACTAAGGCACTCAGCTATTGGTTGAGATAGGGTCTTGCAAACTTTTTACCCAGTTGTTCTGGAACCACTATCCTCCCTATCTAGTATTATAGGCATGGACCCAGTGCCTGACTCATATTAAGTGCTATTGCTAATAATATATTTTTCCAGATTGGAAAACATTTTTTTCTAAACCAAGCCTAAATGAGTGAATAGCATGAAAGCACAATTTATATGTAATGTACCTCTTCCACAAAAGTCCTGTAGGAAAATTTTTGTCTCCTTTAAATTCTTTCAACCCAGAGTTTATTGAATGAAACATTACACCCTACAGAAAACAACACACAGGCATCATATTGGGAAGCAGTGGTTCTCCTTTTGGAGTGTTTCACTTTCTTCCCTGAAGCCTGGGATATACAACATATAAAGATAACAAAACTGGAATCCAAAGTTGTCCTCAAGTTTTATTCAGCCATAAGGAAGAATAAAGCCATGTGGTATGAAGGTAAATGGATGCAATTGAAAGATACCATGTAAGTGAAGTAAGCCAGGTTCAGAAAAATAAAAGATAAACATACACAAAAACAAACATGATCACATACACATATGTAGAGCATGTTTGTAATGGTGGAACTACTCTACGGAACTTGGGGAAGGAGGGAAAGGAAAAGAGAATGATAAAGCATCAGCAATATCATAAAAAAATCTGTAAAGGTAGAGGATAAAACAATGTTATTGAAAGTTGTTGAATAATGGGGGGTGAGAGAGAAAGGGTAAGGGAGAGCAATAGAGGGGGTGACCTGACCAAAGTAAAGTATACTCACAGCAGGGATACACAGAGAAATCCCTTTGAGCATCTATTTTAGGAATTTATAATGAAAAGACAAAGGAATAAGTGCGGGGGGAGGGACTTGTAAGAGGGGGGAGGGTGAATGGAGGAGATGAAGAGGAGGGAATATAGTTGATGGGCTTCATATACAAAATATAATGAAGAAATCTCTTGCAGTTGCTTTAAGTGGGGTCAGGAGGGGTTTGCAAAGGGGAAATAGTGGGGGCAATCTAACCAATGTACAATGTAAGACTATTTGGAATTGTCACAATGAACATCTCTTACAATGAATATATCTTAATAAAAATGAGGAATAAACACAAAGTTGCCCTCAGATATATGTACAATAGAGACTTTCACTGGGAAATGTCTGTACCTTAAATCTCAACAAGACATAGTCTGGTTTTGTTAAGAAAAATGATTTTGAAACCTGTTAACTCTTGGTCTGAACTTGGGCTTCACACCTTGCCACATCAGCTTGGGCAATTCCTAACCTTTCCTAAGGTATAGCTGTTCACTGATTTTAAAAGGAAATAATCAAGTCTAACTTCAAAAGTTGTATAAAGCTTAAAGGGGAAAAAAATGGAGGTGAAGCCCTATCTTTGTGAGTAGTATGCAGTCAGGAGTGGCAGTCACTGACTCCCAATATCATCAACCTTTCTTGGAGCACAGTGATGTATGTTGGCACTGAATAGTCCTGAAATCACTGGGTTTTACCACAGTAGTTCCTATTATCCATGGTTTCACTTCCTGAAGGTTCAGTTACCCGTGGTCAATAAGACACTATGTAATGCAAAAAGGAATTGAGGTATGTTCAGAGAAAGAGAGAGAAAGGCCATATTCATATAACTCCTATTACAGTGGTATATTATTGTTGTTCTTCTATTTTATTATAAGCTATTGCTGTTAATCTCTTAGTGTGTCTAATTTATAAATTAAACTATATCCTAGATATGCACATGTAGGAAAAGAACACAGTACATATAGGGTTCAAGGTCATTCATGACTTAAGGCATCCACTGGGGGCCTTGGAATGTACCCCCTTGGATAATGGGAACTAGTGTAGTCATACACACACATATATGTATATATACATATGTAATATTAATACATGTTAGTGAAATAAATATGTAATAAATATGTCAATATATGGTACATAAATATATTGAATGCATTCAAGTTTTCAGACCAAGCTGTGTCTCATTAGAACTCTAGAAGCAGCTTCTGTGTACTTTCACAGTTTATGGCTACAAGTGCAGATGCTCAAATTAAGTACTTTAAGGACACTTTCTAAGTACAAAACCATTCATGACAAAAGTTAAACTTTTGGGTCAGGTATGGTGGCTCATTCCTATAATTCTAGGTACTCAATAGGCAGAAATTGGGAGGATCACAGTTTGAGGCCAGACAGGGCAAAAAGTTTACTACAAGACCCCATCTCAACAAACAAGTAGCATGAGGACACACACCTGTAATCTCAGTTATGCATAGGCATAGGTAGGAGGACTATGGTCTGAGTCCAGCCAGGCAAAAAGCATAAGACCCTATTTAAACAATGACTAAGCCACTAAATAATGTGACCTATGTGATAGAGTGGCTGCCTACCAAGTGAAGGCCCTGAGCTTAACCTCCACTACCATCCAAAATTACTTTTAAAATAGTACTGTTTGTAAAATTTGATACACTAGGCCAATATCAAATCTTAAGACATCACTGAGTTCCAATGTAATTTCTTTTAAAGGTTCTTTCCTTCAGGAGTAATTCACCAGCACGCCCCTCTCCATTGCCCAGGATGCACATGGTTAATCTGACATGACACACTCTCCTGTTGACCTCGAACTTGGCCTCAAAACTATTCTCAGCCCATGATTTCAGGAAGGTGCTAACAATCAATGCAGGTTGACATGCATATTGAATCTTATTGGCTGTCCCTGACTCAAGCCAGGAGGCATAAATATTCATACCATTTTAAAATTATGAAGATTAAGTTTATCATCACAGACATCCTTTTTAAAGTTTAGTTTTGAAATAGAGAAAAAGAAGACATTTTAAAGATTAATTATATAGTTATTTCACAGGGAGGGTTTTGAGAACTATTCTGGAAACAGCACTGGGCTCCTATATATCAAGCTTAGTTAAGTCACTTAACTGCCCAAGCTTGTTTTGTCCTTAGTAGAAAGTAAATAATAATGTTTTCTTGGTTTTCCTTACAAAACTGCCAAGATGGTAAAATGAGATGATGTATGGGAAAGAAATTTTAACTGTAAATCTTCCTATAAATATAATGCTAGCCAGGCGCCAGTGGCTCTCTGTGATCCTAACTACTCAGGAGGCAGAGATCAGGAGGATCACTGCCAGGCCAGGCAAATACTTTAAGAGACCTTTTCTCGAAAAACCCTTCACAAAAATAAGACTGGTAGAGTGGCTCAAGGTGAAGGCCCTGAGTTCAAGTCCCAGTATAGCAAAATTAATAAGCAAATAATGTTAAGATGGAAAAAAAGAAAAATTGTCCAAGATACCCAGGCCACTAGCACAATACTTGGTTTGGAATTTACATGTCCTATGTCTAATTAAAAGCAAATGACAGTGATTCACACCTGTAATCCTAGCTACTTGGGAGACAAAAATCAGGAGGATCATGATTCAAGGCCAGTCCAGGCAAATAGTGAGATCCCTCCATCTCCAAAATAACCAGACAAAAATGGACTGGAACTGTGGCTCAAGCAGTAGAGCACTTGCTTTATGAGTACCTGCTTTGCATGTGCAAAGCCCTGAGTTCAAACCCCAGTCCTACAAAGAAAAAAAAAATGCTAATGTCACTTCCAAAATGGTCAAATTAATTCTTAGCCATAATAATCTATAACGGTGTTTTAATTAAACTGTAGGTAACAAAGAATTTTCTTTTCAAATTTGCCAGAATCATGATAATATTTTTTCTAATTATTTTCTGCTGATAGTAATACGGGTTTTACTTAATAAAATGTCAGGCCCTTTAGGTTGAAATGCACCCATTTAAGATGCTGTCTTTCTGTGCCTTTATTTTACATAATACTTGTGAATCTTATCTTTTGACTTATTAATTAATACATTGACTGAGCTCAGTATTTCTCCTGTGACATTTAAAAGATACCCATGGAATTTCCTACAGAAGGAAACGCGTTCCCTTTTAACATTCAACAAATGACAAATCCAATTCCAAACTTTCAACAAATAGATATTATCTGCTATCTGAAAGCTTTTCACTGTATTAGATACTTGGAAGGACTTTAGGAAAAAATGCAACCATCTGCTTTTCAGGTCTTTGTAATCCAATTGTCACACACACACACACACACGCACACACACACACAAAATCAAAAATACCAGGGGAAAATGTTCCACAAGAGTTCAACAGAGAGATTATAGTTAAAATGCACTTGTTTTAAAGTAAAAGTCAAAGGTGTCTTTGACATTAAGTAATTAATGAGTAGGACTTTATTAGATGTAGAAGATCTCAATACCTCTGAGCTAAAAAGAAATTAATAAGACAAATACTCATGCACAGGAAATACATTGTGAAATCTCTTTTCAACTTACTTAGTAAGACAAAAAAATGTTTGGGAAGGTAACAATTTGAATCACAGATCCTCAGAGTTGAGAAGAGCTATCAAGACCATCTAGTGACTTTTTCTGCAATTAATATTCGTAATAAATTCATACACACAGTTTATATCTATACACAGAGGACTACCATATATTCTGATAATGTCTAAATGAGGAAATACCAATTTCACAGTCTGGCAC